GCTAGTTAAACGTAATTGTGTTGTATCTAATGTTAATCTTTCTTAACCTGAATTTAAAGTGAGCTGTTTGTGTGTGTGTGTGTGTGTGTGTGTGTGTGTGTGTGTGTGTGTGTTTACAGTCATTCATTATTATCAGCCCAATTGGGACTTTAAAATGTCAGCCGTTTAGAAAACACAGAATGCATTTAATGTGTCGAACAGAAATGTAATCTAAGATTATAGTCGTTTTGAATAAATCAGTTATAGCTTTCGTGGCTTGATCCAGCATGGTGTCGTTTACACTTGGGTGTTGCTCACTTCAGTTAGTTTTGACAGCTGTGTGTTGTGACGTGCGCATTTATCTCCAGAAAACCAATTAAACATTATAAAAAGTGCATATGGGGTAGCGGAGGCGAACAGACATCTGGAAAAGTAATTAAGTGCCTTGCGCGAGTAGAACAAGCCTTGTCAACTTTCAGTCAAACTGAGCTACTCCATTCAAACTTACCGAAAAACTTTTTAAAAGTTTTACAATTGTGACATTTACAAGTCATTACAGTCTAAAAGTAAGTATAGACATGTTTTTATGATCAGGTGGTTTTGTAGGGTTGCGCGAACGGTCTGAATGTGTAAAATAATCTTTGAGAAGTTTATTGACTCACCGGCTCCGCCGTCGCCATTTTACGTGAGTCGTTCACACAGGCCTCATAAGGGACGTTCAGGCTTCACTCCAGTGCTTCGCTGTGATTGGCTGACGCGGCGCTAAGAGCGAATCACAGGCTGTGTTTCAAAACGTCTGTCAGAAAGGATTCGAACACGACGTGATTCTGTCCGATGCGAAAATGAATCATTCTTTTGAGTCGAATCGGACAGGCTGTGCGTGTGCGGTTGGATCCTGAAATGATCCCTGCCCGAAACAGATGTTTGATCCGAAATCTGACTTTACGTCACAACGATGAACGTCTGCAGTTAAAAACCCTCACATTAATTTATCATAAACCTAAAAAACGACATCGACGGATTTATACCGCATTTTCCGTCTATAAAACACACATTCTTGGTATGGTCCCCATTTAAAACCCATTTAGCTCTGCTTTTCTGTTGTTGTTGTTGGATATTACCTTTATCGTTTATTATAATTGATTAATTAATTTATTTATTTTTGCTTTTTTGTTACTTATATATTTTGCAACTTAAATCCTGGAGGAACGTGATATGATTTTTGTGTGCGCCTATGGCTATGGTGCCTACTGTAGAGACGGTTGATGGTTTAACTTGGGCTACTTAAAACTTAAACAACAGTGAAATAACATGCCTTAGTTTACCAAGCATCCCCTTTTCTCATGTAATTACATGTAATTATAATGTTCTCATATGAGCAGGCCAGGCTAAGCCAGTGAAGCTGCACATTTGCACATTTTATTCAAATTTGTAACATAGAGACACGTACAGAACAGTAAAACCTCATTGTTGAATTAAAAGCTTTCAAATCCATTTGTTTGGTCATAATTCTTATTTCATAATGTTACATCTCACCCTGGAGGAAATTATAACACACATATAAATGGTCACAATTTAAAATAAGGTTTCATTAGTTAACTTTAGTTATTATTTACTAACATGAACTAAGAATGAACAATACTTGCAGCATTTTATTCATAGTTCAACATCTTTTAATGTATTATTAAAATCCAAATATGTGCTTGTTAACATTAGCTAATGCACTGTAGGTTAACATGAACTAACAACAAATACATAGATTTTCCTTTAAGATTAATAAATACTATACATTGTTCATTGTCTGTCTGTTGATAAATACAAATACTTCCTTATAGTGTTACAATTTAACACTATAAGCCACTATGGTGGCTAAAATCTTGAAGTCTTAAACTACAAAAATATTTGTTAAATAATAAAACTTATTTTGTATCAAAGGTGTTTGACTTTTTCACTCACTCAATGGTACAAACTTGGACCATCTGACAGTTGGATACTTATTTGTACCATTTTTACCCTTAAATGGTACATATCCATACCCCAAGGTGCAGTTATGACCCATTGAGGGTACAATTTAACTGTTTGTAGCCTAAGGGTCCCCAACCGTACCCTTTTTTCTGACAGTGCACTTTGCAGGCTTTATTAGAGGTCGTCATAACAGAATAGACCGCCAATTACTCTGGCATTTTTATTTATTTTTTATTTTTTATTTTTTTGAGCAGCGGATGCCCTTTCAGACTACAAGAGGAATAAATTAGACAAAAATAATTTGAGCACAAAATTAAAGAGACTAAAACATTTGTTACTTGCCAATTTAAATAATGCCTGTTTATTATAAAGTAAAATAACATTAATGGAGACTGAAGCTATGCCTCTTTCCCTTTGTGCTTCACAAAATAAGGAAATTTACTTATAAAGGGAAAACTTGTAGTATTAATATGTAACCACTAAACAGAATAATCTTCCCAGTGATGAGTTACCCAGATTAATAAATGGACTAAGCCAAAAAGAAAATGAATGAATAAATGAACAGAATAATCTCACTGGGTTAAAATAATAAACAATCAAACAAATTCTTAGAAGGAAACATTGACTGTTTTAGAAGTTTTAGACCTGTCATTAAAAGTTTTTAGCCTCCAGTACCACCATTTTCCAGAACTTCAACTGATATACACAGAGTCTCCAAAATGACTTGTTTCTGTTTCTCAGAGACCTGGCTGCAGTGAAAAATACCCAAACATACTGTAGGAATCACAAGCTTGTTGTAAAATAGATTCTGTTTTTGAAGGCTTAGACCTACCAACACTCCAGTTTTTCACACTTTTTTCCTGCTACCCATTTTGTTATTTCTCCTGTTAAACTGAAAAAAAATGTCTCTATGACTTTAAATGAAGCTACAAGACCTGGTAATACTGTAAAAATGCTGGGTTCCACACAATCCCTTCACCTCATCTCAATGCAAATTGATTTAGTTAGCTTAATGATTTTTACTAATTTGATTTGATTGAATATAAAACAATAACATTGTCCTTAAAAAACTTAAGAACTTTGGTGTTCCAGCTCATTTTAGTTTGAACAAGCAACAAAAATATATACACTGTAAAAAAGCAGGGTTCCACACAATTCATTCACGTTGTCCCAACACAAATTGATTAAGTATATGAGGTGCCGTTTTATGTATGTGTTGATAAGCAAAGTTAAATTTAAACTCTACACGGCACCTCATATAAATAAACTTAACACTTTTAACAAATTTATATGGATTGAACATAAAAAAAATTGTTGTCCCAATGAAATCTCAAGAATTGTGTTGTTTCAGCTCATTTTAAAAAAGTAGTTTGAACGATCAAAATAAAATAAAAAAAATTTTAAAATACCTTTTTATTCTTTACAAAAACAATTTTCCCTGTTACAGGTGCAGTTGTTTTGCTCTAGTAATACCTTCAGAGAACACAGTAGCATCCATACAAGCAGAGATTGATGTGCTGTAGCAGAACTGGTAGATGTCTGTCCAGGCTGATACATGTTTAGGCCATTAATTGGTAGCTAAATTCTTGATGCCCTTTACTGGAGCTTCCAGAAAACCAGCAATAAAAAAATACTAGGGTAAAACCCATAACGCCTGTATCTGCTATTATACAAAGTTAATTTACTTTAAACTCAATGTCCCATATTGTCGCATTCAATAATTTTGACTGCTATGAATTTTCCTTTAACAGGGCATTTAGGAAGAAATGTAATGATCTTGTTATCATTTTATTCACCTTTGATTTTTGTAATATTAATAACAGATTAATGAAAGCACAGGTAACAGTGGCGCAGTAGGTAGTGCTGTTGCCTCACAGCAAGAAGGTCGCTGGTTTGATCCTCGGCTCAGTTGGTGTTTCTGTGTGGAGTTTGCATGTTCTCCCTACGTTCGCATGGGTTTCCTCAAGGTGCTCTAGTTTCCCCCACAGTTTAGTACAGGTGAATTGGGTAGGCTAAATTGTCCGTAGTGTATGAGTGTGTGTGTGAATGTGTGTGTGGATGTTTCCCAGGGATGGGTTGCGGCTGGAAGGGCATCCGCTGCGTAAAAACCAGCTGAATAAGTTGGCGGTTCATTCCGCTGTGGCGACCCTGGATTAATAAAGGAAGCCGACAAGAAAATGAATGAAAGCACAGCACACACATGATCAAACACTGGAAAACATGGTTTGTGAACACAGGCAATTTATCAATCAATAACATAATGAATAGAATTAAATATTAATTTGACGATTAAAATTGGTTTAAAGACTTTTTTGAGCGCGACAAACCAAAATGTGTTTCCAGATTTGACAAAAAAGGCAGCTGAATCTTTTAAATGGAAAAGTTCAAAAGAATCGACTCGCAGAAATACGCCCCCACGTGTTACTAAATTTTTAAAACACAGCCTTTGCACTTCTATAACTGTATATAGATCTACAGCCTATGTGTAAGTTAATAATTATATTAAACTATATTAAAAGAAGGAAATGTTTTTGTTCATGCTTATTCTAACACCCATCTATTCTTAATGCACGTGTTTTTGTTTTTCTCTAAATTTAAAGATTATTGTAACGTTCACATGACACGACATGCAATGACAACTTTCCCCCTTTATTATGTAAGTTGTACAAACTTACCGCAAACCACAAACTGTAAAATGTATTTACATCTAAAAAAATTTTTTTTTTTAAATGAGTGCAACTCAGTGTTGGGAAAAAAGTAATATATGGCAATCTGTAGTCATTTAAAAACGTAACTAAATGTGTTAGTTACTTTTTAAGGACGCAATGTGAATATATATGTACATATATATGTTATTTTATTGTAATTTGCATTTTTTAAAAACTTTTTTAAGGAGATAAGGTAGACGTAAAATTGTAATATATCACTTTTTACCCACTGAAACTGTATTAACAGTATACAATCAAAAGGCATAAACTTAGTTGCCAGGGGTTTAAAAAAACAGGTAAATAAAACACCACAACTCTTATTTTGACCGTGATTTGTGACGTCAGGCTGCGCCGTCTGTTGACAGCCAACACCGGAAGTATCTCCAACAAGCCATCTGTTTCCCAGCCCTTCGGCCCCGTCTCAGGTCAAAATTAATCATTCTGTTTTTAGCATTAATATGTCAAATACTAATCGTATCGTAAATGATGCGGAGACACGTCATCATCGAGACTTCTTAACCGGGACGCGAGAACGGAGCGGGTGTCGACACCAGCATGAGCGCGCTGTCAAACACACACACAGAGAACTGGTAAGACTCTTAACGTACATCTCGACCAACCTGACTTGTTTTTTTTAAATTATACTTGTATACTACGAGTTAAAAGTTTTAGAATAGTCTGTTGTTTTTTATCAGTAACTAAGAAACAGCCCTGCCTTCCCCTTGTGTATCAACAGCTCTATAAATAGCTGTTTTGCAATGTTGTCACATTCATTTGGTATAACATAAGGAGTTCTGTTAAGCCTCAACATAACGAAATGACGAAACCCAAGTATACCAACCTGTTTTTTTTTTTTTGCCTTGCTATATATAGCGACAGTACATATTACAAACATAAACACACTCCCACAGACACTCAAATGGTGTCAGTGTTTTACACCCTGTATAATTACTGTATAATTACTCTGTCATTGCGCTCAGAATGACCCCAGGGGAAGAGATAGACCACACAATGCTGAGCCATCGCAGGAACCAGCTGAACCGGAGGCCCCACAGGTGGATGACTGTGAGAAGATGGGCACTTTGTTCGGGGAGCTCAACAAGTGTTTGAGGGGTCTTGGATTCACCCAGCTCTACTTCGGAGAGAAGATTGTGGAGCCGGTGGTCGTGCTGGTGTTTTGGTTGCTTTTGTGGTTCCTTGGTATCCAAGCGCTTGGCCTCGTGGGAACTCTGTGCATCATTATCATTTACATCCAGAAATAGCAGACGAGAATATACAGATGAAGGACAGTTTTGCCACTTACAGCCAGTAGAGAGGAGATTGAGACTCCTTTCTGTAAACGACAAGCTCCACAACTCCGTTTACGCGGGTGTTGTTTGCTTTCTTGTAATGTGGGTATATATTCAAGAAGGTGAATTATTGAAGATAATCAGAGGATTTACTTTAATTGCTAGAATGATTCCACCAGTCTATGCGCTTTCATGCATAAGGCATTTGTGAAAAGCATGCTTCCCTTCACTCCTGATTGGTGCATAGAGATAGGATGACTGTCGTAACCTGTACAGGTTGAAGAGCTTTATTATAACTGGTTGTACATATCAGCTTGACAGTCATTTGAAATGAAAGTGGTATCCTTGTTGAATGTATTGCTGATGTGTTCCCAGGTTTCAGTCCTGTTTTCTCTACGCAATTGCACTAGAGGGCAACCTTCCTCATTCTTTATAAAAGAGATAGTTCATCCGAAACTGAAAATGATTTTGTCATTTACTCACTTAAACACTAAAGAAGATAAAAAAGACTGGAAACTGGTAACCATTGACTTCCAAAGTAGAAAAAATAAATACTATGGAAGTCAATGGTTACAGGTTTTCAGCTTTCTTTAAAATATCTTCTTTAGTGTTTGGTAGCACAAAGAAACTCACAAAGCTTTAAAATAACTTGAGGGTGATTAAATAGTGAGTCGATTTTCATTTTTGGGTGAACTATCCCTTTTAAGATGTGTTAGGAAATCTAACAGGGATGAATAATTATTCTGAGTTAAAACTTGAATGTGTTAATACTACTGCATGTGAATGTTCTGGGGCTGCTGGGGTATTTTTGGACTTCGTCTGACAGTTTGAATTAAATACAGTTCTCCAAGAGTCTGAGCAGAGGAGGAATCTGTATTAAAACCAAACCTATCATGAAAAAGATCTACGTTATGCACTGTATTTTTGGATTTGTTTATTAACTGATGTTTCTTAAAGGGACAGTTCACCCTAAATTAAAAATGGACTGAGCATTTACTGGTACCAAACCTTTTTTTTTCTGTTGTATACAAAAGATGATATTTTGAAGAATGTTTTGTTCCAGGGATGTCCAGACTCAGTCTTGGAGGGCCGGTGTCCTGCAGATTTTAGCTCCAATTTGCCTCAACACACCTGTACAGATGTTTCTGGAAAGCCTAGTAACAGCTTGATCATCTAGCCCAGGTGTGTCTGATTGAGGTTGGAACTAAACTCTGCAGGACACTGGCTTTCCAGGACTAAGTTCGGACACCCCTGTTTTAAACGGTTAGCAGTAGTAAAACAAAATCATTGCATATACTATTATCGTTATAATGATAATTTTCATATATTGTGCACACACTATGAATATCAATGCCTGCTGCTTTCCAACATCCATCAAAATTCTCTCTATCATCATAAAGAAACTAAGAATTGTAATTTTGGGGTGAACTATCTCTTTTCAATCTGCTTATGCTGTCTGTTAAAGAAATAATGCAATATGAATATTAATGAAATCAAATGATGATTTCATAAATACAACATATTTAGTAGAAATATCTTGAAACAGTTTGTTTTGTAGGATATTCAGAATCAGAAATATATAAAGGCTGTTTTAATAGCACTTAATGCTTTTTGAAATACTACATTTGATTATTATTAAATGATTTAACTTTTTAAGCACGGTTAATTACCTGCTGTTTATGTAACTGTGAATATTTTTGCAAGATGATGTCATACTCATGAAAATCATATTTGATTTTGATTATTTTTTGGTACAGATTTTGAGAAAAACTACTTTGTTTGTAATGTGACATAATTGCTGACATGATGCCAACTTTTGATTTGATGTGATTCTTTTCAGTGTTCATCTGCATCTCATGTGCTGTACTTTTCATTTTACCAACGTATTTGCCACAATTTTTTATTTGCTGGTGGTGGGTTTAATGAGGGATACTTGTATTGATTAAATTATTTTAATTGAGTTGTTTTTTTTATACATTATAAATCATTCTGCAATGTAATTCAACTAAAAACCTGGGTTATCATAATAAAAACAATCATGCTTTAAAATAATTGCAGTTGCCTTTTTCCTTGTAGAAATCCACTAATCATTCATTCATTCCATTTTCATTCGGCTTTGTTGCCACAGCGGAATGAACCGCCAACTTATCCTGCATATGTTTTACACAGCAGATGCCCTTCCAAGTGCCTGCATGTCTGTGTGGGAAACAGGAGCACCCGGAAGAAACCTAAAACCTACACGAACACAAGGAAAACAATCAAACTTCACACAGAAATGCCAACTGGCCCAGGGGCTCGAACAAGTGACCTTCTTACTGTGGGGCGACAGTGCTAACCACTGAGTCTCCATCCACAAATTAAATGAAAGTGTCTATGTCGATGTTTTCCATAACATTTGTGAATATAAAATGTCGAAATCTGCTGTCGTTTCACAACCTATTCTGACCTGGGCTTAGATTATACTTAATAATTTGTGATAATGGTAAATTTGAATAGATTTTATGTGATTTAAAGACTTAATATTGACAAATGTTTAAAGTGCTTTGTCACTTAAAGGCAAAATATAAATATATTATATATATAAATAAATATATGTAGATGTATATATATGTATATGTATATATGTATATGTTTATATATATATGTATATATATGTATGTATACACACACACACATACAGAAAACAATGTGTGCAGAGAGAATGAAAGAGCAAAAAAGGAGAACAAAAGTGAGCAGCTTTGTCCTTTTCTATTTTACGATGTAGTCATAATATTTATATCTATACATCTATTCACAATGCACACTTGATAACATTTTAGGCTTTCCAGTTGTTATTGGGTGCATTAATAGCACCAGCATTTAAAGCGCCTTCATTCAAAAAATGAGACTAATTGGAAATCTGCCCATAGTATACATGTGCTGGTAACAACTCAATTTTCAGTCCTTAATCTTTTGGTGTTACAACTATTACATTCATTACTGCTTCCACTAAATAGCTAATATGACATACATATGACATTATTAACATTAAGGGTCAGTACATGATGGCAGAATTTTTAGGCATTATTTTGCTACACATTTCAACAGAATCCATTTTACTTTACACAAAGTGTTTTTATTTGTTTTACTATATTTGTATTATACACTTCAATCATTACTGGACATCACATTGGTTACTGGCTGGGGGCCAGAGGGGTACAAATACCCTTATCCGCCCTTTATGATGACACCTTGAACCTACAGATACGATTCAGACTGGGGAAACTAAAGCAGACCAAATAGATGGAAGAGTGCTAGAAGACATCATTTCTCAAAAATATGTTTAAATAAATAGTTTGCACCGAAGCACTGTTCATTTCCTTATTTCCTGAAATAAAATTGTCTTTTTTTTTACATTGCTTTATATACACTCACACACCTTTGTACAACATGAAACATATTATCTTCCCTAAGGTAATGGTCCACTATTTCAGGTTTTGCTTTTGCCTTTTTTTTTAAAGGCCTAAATTTTAAGCAGTATGAAGTTCATCTCCATGTGACTTTGAATATGGACCTCATACAGCTCAATCTTTAAAATTCTGCAACTAGAACGCCATAATTAAAATAAATAAATAAAGATTGTGGGCGACACGTTGGCTCAGTGGTTAACACTGTTGCCTCACAGCAAGATGGTCGCTTGTTTGAGTCCCGGCTGGGCCAGATGGCATTTCTGTGTGAAGTTTGCATGTTCTCTCCATGTTGGTTTGGGTTTCCTCCGGGTGCTCTGGTTCCCCCAAACAGTTTAAAGACATTGTTGAATTGAATAAATTAAATTGGTCCTAGTGTATGAGTGTGAATGTGAGAGTGTATGAGTGTTTCCCAGTATTGGGTTGCGGCTGGAAGGGGTAGAAGGACCATCACCTGCATGCAAAACAAAAAACATAAAAAGCAACTAAAGGTACCAGACAACAATCACTTACAACTGTTGAAGATGGTGTGGTTTCTGGAAGGTCCAATAATTCAACCTCTGGTCAGTGGTCACCATTTATTGAGGGACCTAACAGCTCCTCAGATTGGGTAAGCAAAGGTATTTGGTGGCTCACACCAGTCAGGCAGACCATAGTCCTCTTATGAGCTATGAAGAAAAAATATTACAAAGTGTTTAATACATAGCTTCAGTATTTAAATATTACATTCCATGAGAAGCATTGGTTTATTAAACCATAGTCTAATCATACATTATTTTTGTAACTTTAAGAAATGATGGCAGGAAAAGTAAATGCTTGAATCGTTTTTCTTATCTATTTCTTATCTTACCCACAAAACAAAGTATCTCTGGCCCACACAATCAGCTTTTGCTTGGCTTGGCCCACATGACGCAGTGAATTACTGTACATGACTGGACCAAGTCTGGCTTCCAGACAAGAGCCAAACATTGACCATATTTAGGCCAAGTCTCGGCCAAGTTAATAACCCTTAACTGGGTCTGACTTGGGCCAGATATGTTGGTGTGTCACGACCTCAATGAAATTGATAAACCCAATAATCATTGCACTTTAGGTGTGCTATGGGCGTGCTTTTTCTCGAAGCGAGCTGATTGGTAGATTTTTTCTCCTTTATTTAAAAATAATAAAAATGTGGGTCAAGACATTTGACCTTACATAGCCCATATTCATTTTCTTTTTGGCTTAGTCCCTTTATTAATCTGGAATCACCAAAGCGGAATTAACTTCCAACTTATCCAGCATATGTTTTACGCAGCGGATGCCCTTCCAGCCGCAACCTATCTCTGGGCAACATAGCCTATATATCAATTATTAACATCTGGGCCAAATACTACATTTTACAACTGGCCCAAGTATTGTGTGCCGCCTTAAAGATGGTGGCACTTCTGCCAAACCAAGGTCTTGTTTGGCCCACATGTTGCCGAATGAATGCCTGCTGTGCCAGATTTATGCCAAATCTGGGCCAGAATTCTTGCTACCTGGTTATATTTCTATCCTTCACTAAAGCAGCTCTTTGTTTTCTTAGTATCAGCTTTAATTGCTTGTATCCGGCAGCATTAAAACCTCCAACTCCACCTCTGTAAAACGTTCCTCCCTATTGTTCTCATCAGCGATCTGTTAAAAATGTAACTCTCTAAAGTTACCTCTTAACTCTTCTCATCTGTTTTGGAACCGTTCAAAATAAGCAGGTTTTAATCAACCGAGATTTTGTGGTTTAGCAGATGGTAAGTGAACCTAGCCTGTATATATATATATATATATATAGTGTGTGTGTGTGTGTGTGTGTGTGTGTGTGTGTGCGTGCGTGCGTGCCTGTGTATGTTCTTACAGCAAGAAGGTCGCTGGGTCGCTGGTTCGAACCTCCGCTCAGTTGGCGTTTCTCTGTGGAGTTTGCATGTTCTCCCTGCCTTCGCGTGGGTTTCCTCCGGGTGCTCCGGTTTCCCCCACAGTCCAAAGACATGTGGTACAGGTGAATTGGGTAAGCTAAATTGTCAGTAGTGTATGAGTGTGTGTGTGGATGTTTCCCAGAGAGGGTTGTGGCTGGAAGGGCATCCGCTGCGTAAAAACTTGCTGGATAAGTTGGCGGTTCATTCCGCTGTGGCGACCCCGGATTAATAAAGGGACTAAGCCGACAAGAAAATGAATGAATACATATATACATACCATTCATACCGTGAACCATTAGCACATTAGAAATTAAATTATGTTCATGTGTATTCGATATGCTCAGGAAAAATGACCTTCAACTTATTGTGTAAATCTTATTGGTCACTGTGTAAGTTAATTGCAAGCAACAAAAACCATTATTCTATATCTATTCTTCATGTAGACCTATATTAATAAGTTACAGTTCAATAAAAGAAAGAGAAAAGGGGTGAGAGAGAGGGAGGGGAGAGAGAGATAGAGAGAAATTGCGTCATCCTTATAAAACTAGAGTATAAAAACAATCACCAGAGAATCTCTTTCTCTCTTTTCATTCATCACAGCAATACGACTACACTGGGAAATGGCCACTGCAGGGAAGGTTTGTGCACCTGTCTTTTGGTCTCTTTTCATTTGTGCTGCAGAGAAGTTAATGCATTTTTAATAAGACTTCAGTCCCTTTATACACAGAAGCTCATTTTCAATGATTTATTGACAAGGATCAAATACAGCTAATCTATAGTCTATCTAAATGTAATGCTCAAGATTTTATAATTCTGTCTCTGTTGGGGATGCCTTAAGCCATCCAATAAATTTACTGTTAGCTATTCTTTTAAATGCAAATGAAAAATCTAAGATCTACGCATAGTGCTTTATGCATATTAATGTATTGGACTGCCTTTCTGCACTGCTGATTACAATGCTGTGTGTGTTTGTGTGTGTGTACACCTAAAAATGTACAATTGTTTGAACTTATATGGATAAAATATGTACAATCCAAACCTTTGACCCTGCAGTTTGTGCATATTTTACACAAAAATAGACTGGAACAACCCAGCATTTTTAACAAACACACACACACACACAATTACTGTGCAAATATATGATATATGCAATATATCAATATCAAATAATTCTACTGTGCAGATTTATTTTATTTCATTATTATTATTTTTTATGTATTTAGGCCATTCCAAAGTATTTTTTTTGTATTCTAGCATTCAAGTTTTCTTTCACAGGTAATTTGATCGGGTTAATATTTATCTGAGATTGTGAAATGTGTAGCTAAAAACAGATGTTTCATATTTCCACTTGATGCTTCCAAACCAAACAGCTGGACAAGCTCCAACTACAGTTGGAGAGCAGATCAGGCAACGCTTAAGCACAGCAGCGGTTATATAAACATCTGTAGTCAATCATTAAATATATAAAACAAGCTGAGCCAATTTCTTCTGTATGCCGAAGGTGATCAAATGTCGGGCCGCTGTTGCCTGGGAGCCCAAGGCTCCTCTGATGATGGAGGAAATAGAAGTTGCCCCACCACAGGAAGGAGAAATACGAATTAAGGTGGGAAATGTTCCATGAAAGATATAAAATCGTTAAACAGAGTAATACTGTTAACCTGTATTGGTTGTTCTAAAGGTTATAGCTACAGGACTTTGTCACACCGACCTTTACCATCTGGTTGATGGGGACAAGCGAGGTTTTCCTGTCGTACTGGGACACGAGAGCGCTGGTGTAGTGGAGAGTGTTGGGCCTGGAGTCACTGATTACAAACCAGGTCACAAATTTAAACTCATTTCTATATTGATTTATCTATTTATTTGGGATAACAATTTTTAAAAATGAACTCACCTTCAGGCCACTTGAGATGAAGCTACAAGAACTGTTGACTCAACACAAATTTGGGTCAAATATAAGCTTGTAAGTTTGAAATAATGATAAAATAACCACATTTTTTGAACCAAACTTGGGTTGAAACTCCCTCAATAAAACATTAAATAAATATCTGTAGCTTAATTCATGGTTTTTGATGATTTATAAAACACAAATCAATGGCTATCTTAATTATTTACTAATTAATCAATCTGCTTCACAAGTCCTCATAATATTGCCTAGGAGGCACAGGTATAGGTATATCTCATCTTATCTATCTATCTATCTATCTATCTATCTATCTATCTATCTATCTATCTATCTATCTATCTATCTATCTATCTATCTATCTATCTATCTATCTATCTATCTATCTATCTATCTATCTATCTATCTATCTATCTATCTATCTATCTATCTATCTATCTATCTATCTATCTATCTATCTATCTATCTATCCATCCATCCATCCATCCATCCATCCATCCATCCATCCATCCATCCATCCATCCATCCATCCATCCATCCATCCATCCATCCATCCATCCATCCATCCATCCATCCATCCATCCATCCACCTACCTGCCTACCTACATACCTAGGTACCTACCTAGTTTTTTTTACTCTCAATGTACTCATTCAATGTACATTTTATGAATCATCAAAGAGCCCATTTACAGCCAAAAATATATTGCAAAAAAAAAATCTTTAATGGCCTGAAGGTGAGTAAACAAAGTGTTAGTTTTTGGGTGAAGTATGCTTTAAAATAAACAATCATTGTTTACTCCCCCTCATGTTGTCTGAATAAATACATTCAGAGAATCTTATTCAGTTAATCTTTCTGCGTGCTTTGGTGAACAGGTGATAAGGTCATCCCCCTCTTCCTCTCTCAGTGTGGAAAATGCAAGTTCTGCAAGTGTCCAAAAACAAACCTGTGTGAAAGCAGCTGGTGAGAAACGAGCAGAAAGCATTACAGCTGACCTCTTATTTTTCATTTGGCAAACCATCAATGTTTTATCCCTCTTGCAGGGCAACTAAATATCATGACATTATGGCTGAACCTACAAGCCGCTTCACTTGCCGTGGCCAGACCATCTTGCAGTTCATGGGAACCAGCACCTTCTCCGAGTACACCGTCATCAACCAAAATGCTGTGGCAAAGATTGACGAAAATGCTCCTCTCGACCGCGTGTTTTTGCTCGGCTGCGGCATCACTACTGGTTATGGAGCTGCAGTCAACACAGCTGGGGTGTGTATAGATGTTGTTACAACTGAAAATGCACTTGAATTAATGTCTTGGCTTTTTATAACTAAATATTTGCTTTATATAAACAGAACATTTCAAGAGAGGGCAGGAACACTTTAGGAAAAGCAAGCATTAGAAATTCATCACAGCTGTGTGGATGTACACTACCTGACAAAAGTCTTGTCGCCCATTCAAGTTTTAGGAACAACAAATGACTTGACTTCTAGTTAATCATTTGGTAACAGAAGTGGCTTATTTGAAAGACAAAAGCCTCTAGATTATGTTGATTTTACCAAAATAAAATATGACCATGCCTTGATTTTTAATTATTTAATAAAAGTCTTGTCACTTAACAGAAATAATGTACAGTATAGAATATAAAGTCATGCTGCAGTGGAAAAAGAATTAATATTGTGTATGACTCCCATGAGCTTGGATGACTGCAAGCATACATCTCTACAATAGCCCAAATATCATATTAATTACTATACTATACTGATACTGTTGAAGAATTTGACCTCTCCTGTGGTTTGTAATGAAATGGGCAGCATAAATATCTTGATACCTCAGGGTATTGATGTTGCCATTCATTCTGCAGATCTCTCGAACGCCACCATACTGAATGTAACCCCAAACCATGATTTTTCTTTTACCAGACTTGACTGATTTCTGTGAGAATCTTGGGTCCATGCAGGTTCAATAGGTCTTCTGTAGTTATTGTGATGATTGGGATGCAGTTCAACAGATGATTCATCAAAAAAAAAATCAACCTTTTGCCACTTTTCTAAATGATCTACTAGACTTTTGTCAGGGAGTGTATTATTGGTTTTAAATTGGTAGTAAACAAATAAAAAGCCTTTATTGATTAACTGAAATCTTATTTACAAGATTAAAATATTTACTTTAGATTTTAAAGGGGTAATTTTATTTGTACTGTTCTATTTAAAATAGTAATAGGCTATTTTCTCTCCTGTTTTAATCCCTACGACCCATGTGAACATACCATTTGAATATGGTAAATTGTAGATTAGGAAATAAATGCCCACTGCTCCTATTTTTGTCAATATTTATCATAAACAATTTCGAAAGGACAGCTGTGAGGGCACCAATATAAATTTAGCATTTCTGCAATGATTAAAATTAGAAGGAATGCAATGACTTTTTTCCACTATTTAGCACTGCACAGTGTTTTCTTAAGCGGAAATCGTAATTAATGGTTGTTGTATTTTTGTGCGTGATTTGTCTCATTTTTCTTGGGTGGAGCTAAACAGACATTGATGTAGAAGTAGACGTGGATCTTCTCTATTAAAAGACGTTTCACAACTTTCACAGTTTTACAACCTGTCATTTTGGCAGATTGGCTTCAATATAAGCTGTTTTTGGAGTTCTAAATCCACACAGAATGTTTTTATAATACCACAACCAAAAGATCAAAGGGATTTTGATTTCTCAGTTTCCCATTAAACTGGAAGTGAAGCAGTCAGTCAAGATATTATTCATTATTTTGTAAATTGATTTCCACTTTGGTGAAAATATATATTGCAAACTCGATTATTGCAACCATTTTGCAGAAAACAGCATGTTTTACTATAGTTTTTAGGAAACAGAACCAACCCCGTGACATCAGACAAAGCGATATTCCAAGATGGCAGCGCCCTTGCACTAAAAGTCATAGTAAAACATGCCCTTTTCTTAAAAATGGTTACATTAATCGAGTGTTTAATATGTTTTCATTAAAGTGAAAAGCAATTTACAAAATAATGTAAACTTGACTGACTGCTATACTTCCACTTTAAGTTAATGTTTTTATACCACTTGAATATTCATGCGTTTCAGATGTTTACTGAATGGGTAGTTTTCCTAAAATAAAAAAAATACTCTTAATTTACTGTTCCTGTTTTAAATAATCAATCTATATATCAGCAGAAACAGCAGTAGTTTTTATTATCTCCCTGAGCCTAAAACTGAAGACGTGAATTTTAAGGGACTGTTTGATATGGACTAATTAATCATTATACTGTTCAATGAATGCAAACTGTCGTAGATTATTAAAGACTCCAACCCCTCACTGAAAGACAGTTGCACCTTTAGCAAACTTCCTAATTCCTGCATCACAAGGACTTTATGATTGTTTATGTGCATCAAAAGTGGCTGATCTGTTCGGCAAAATATTTGACTCCGTGTCACCGCATCCCAAATGACAAACAATATAACTGAAGAAATCTCCACTGTGCTGAGCGAAAGCGCTTCTTCTGAACAGCGCATCATCGATGACGTAAGCGTGCCCAGGCCCAAATGTAATGTGAGTGCGGGCCGTGGGGGGGGGGGCCAAGTGTGCTTTAGCCCGGTTCAAGGCAACTGTACATAGTGTAAGTACGCCTTAAGCCTCAAACTGGATTCCTTGCTGCAACCCTAATCAAACACAGCTGATCCAACTAATCAAGGTGTTCAAGACTACTAGAGACTATTAAGCAGGTGTGGGTTGGAGCTAAACTATGCAGAGCAGTCGCCCTCTAGGAATTGAGTTTGAGACCACTGCCTTACAGTGACGTCACTCGCTCCATTGAGTGTATTGTGTCTGACTGAGATATGCAGTCTCAGCTTGCAAATCCAAGTTTGCATACTATTGGGAATGTTACATTGCAACGAATGAGCATTACAATAGTAGTTTGTGTTTAGGTTACTCCAGGCTCTGTGTGTGCTGTATTCGGACTCGGTGCTGTCGGTCTGGCTGCAGTCATGGGCTGTAAAAACGCCGGAGCATCTCGCATCTTTGCTGTGGATATCAATGAAAAGAAGTTTGAGAAGGCCAAGGTGTTTGGAGCCACAGATTTCCTGAATCCGAAAGCATACAATAAACCCATCTCTGAAGTGCTGATAGAAATGACCAATGGAGGAGGAGTGGACTTCTCAATCGAGTGCACGGGGAACACTGAAGTAATGGTAAGACCTGACTTGTAAAAAGGTGAATTAGTTATTCGCTTAAAAGCTTTTCAGTACTCGCAGTCTTTCTTTGTGCGAATATAAACAACATCTTTGACCTCAGAGAAGTGCGCTGGAGTCGTGTGCTAAAGGTTGGGGTGTGAGCGTTGTGGTTGGATGGACTAATGTGCAAGACTTTTCTGCAAAGCCAATTCAGCTCATATATGGGAAAACCTGGAAAGGATCTCTGTTTGGAGGTATGTAAACTACCCACCAGTGCTTTCTAAAGCTTTCAGAGTAAAATGTCTGTAAGTATATCTGTTTTTGTAAAGGTTTTAAGTGCAAGGATTCAGTTCCGAAACTGGTTCGTGACTACATGTCTGGCAAAATAATGCTTGATGAGTTTATAACCCACAAAATGAATCTGGAGCAGGTCAACGATGCCATCAACCTCATGAAAACTGGACAAGGGTAACATTCGTCTTTTTTTGTGTGTGTGTGAGGTTAATATGGTTAAAAACAAAAATACTAACCTTTTGATTTCTATCTCACAGCATTCGAACCATCATGACTGTATCCAAATGAGAAGCAAACTGTCGTCACAGGACCAGTTTCTACACTACAGTTATTGTGATTAGCTTTCTCTGCAGCTGTTTGCATTCCATGATCCTCTTTAATGGCATATTGCATCTGCTTTATGAAGTGATTCATAAGTGCATGTAAACATTTAACACTAAACACTGTTCTATTCATCTGCAAGGCAAAACGCTTCTGAAATATTTTGCAAGAAAAAGTAATCCTTGGCAAATAAAAAAGAGACAAGCATATATAAATCATTCAAGAGGTTTTGTGTAACCAATTTATGATGCCGTCAAAATAGTTTATTTCTCTTCTCCGAGCCAGATTTCAACATTGGAAAGTTAAGAAGCTCCAGAAAAATGCAGCTGTAGACTATTCTGAAGAAACATTTAAGACAGACGGATTGCTTGGACTAAATGCAGCCAGTTTAACACACACTGAAATGATTTCTGAAAGGTCTGGATCAAAATAACGGTTTAGAATTTGGTACTCTGGTTCTGTCTGGCTAGAAGTGAAACGATGTGAGAAACTGCTACAGTAATTCAGCACAGATGATCTCCTGACTGCAGAAAGGTTTTCCAGCTGCTCATGACTGAATCCTTTCTGACCTTATATGACATAAACATTGGTCGATTCTGACAATCCAAATACATTTGACTATTTATTATCAACTCTACTTTAAATCTGTAAGCCTTTTGTTAATAAAACAGCGTGTCAATGCAATTAACCTAAAATCAACATGTGTGTGAGAAGCAAAAACAAAAGTTATTGTACAGAAAAGATGATCAAACTGCCAAAAAAGCTACAGGACATCATATAGCTCTTAAGTCAAATGTTAATTTTAATCAGTTGTGATTATTTTCTGAGATGTTTTCAAATTGAATTTTATCCCCATCAAACATTAGGCTAAAATAAAAGATAAAATGTAATATAATTTACCTTGCAAACTGAAATGTATCCGAGCTGCATCAAACCAGCAAAGGCTTTCACGTTGCTCTTTAAATGGCAATGATCAGAAGATAATTAAACTATTTGTACTTAATGCTTCCTCCAGGTCTTTACAAAGACATGAAAAAATCAAATGAGATCAATTCAATTGCACCCTACGCAGGGCTGACTTAGTGATTTGGGGCCCTTTAGCAATTCCAGGTATGGTGCCCAAGCATTGAAACTCAAAACATTCTCTTTCTCTATAGATTTTTTGGTCACACTTTATTTTGATGGTCCGTTTGTTGAATTTAAGTTACATTGCATCTACAAGGCAACTAATTCTCTTATGATTATAGTAGATTCAAGTAGATTATAAGTAGACTATGAGGTTGGGGTTAGAGTTAGTGTTGATATGTTCTTGCAAAGTTTCTTATAGTCAGTTAAATGTTTGTTGACGGAGCAGTATGAACACATTAAGCAGACAGTCTACTAATACTTAATTGGACCATCAAAATAAAGTTATCATATTTTTTCTATGTAGATTCTTTATCGGATTTTTGGGGGATAAATAAACTGCATGTTAAAATATATATTTTGAGTGGAACCTTCATGTTCTTGATGTAAAATTAAATACAACCAATTCACAAAAAAAAAAAAAAAAACAAGTTCAAACACTACTTTTGCAGTTAATTAACTATATTTGTGGTTTTAATATGTGCATGTGCAGTATGGAAGGAACATTCCACTATTTAAGGAGCCTCCGGTTTTTAAAAAGAAGTAATAATGTTAAAATCTTAATGGTTATAGACAGATTTTACAACATATTCTTTAATCATTTTCTTTTCGGCTGTTTTACACAGCGGATACCCTTTCAGCTGCAACCCATCACTCGGAAAAGATTTTATGACATATGATAGAAAATTAATAAAAGAGCTATATGATTAACATGGGCGGTTCATTCCGCTGTGGTGACCCCTGATTAATAAAGGGACTAAGCCAAAAAAAATGAATGAATGCTTAATATACTGTAGGCTTCTTGGCATTGTTTGGGGCCCCCTAATTCTCCGGGGCTCTAAGATGCTGCTTACCTCGCTTATTGGTTAAGTTCACCCCTAATCATATGAGTGCTAGTAAAAGTCCAACAAGGGTATTTGTTCAATGTTCAGTATTGTTATGCACTGCAGTACTCTTTCAGTGAGGAGTATTACGACATATCAGTTATACTGTATGATACGATTTAAAGAGCATAGCAAAAATACCCATATTCTGTAACAACCAAGCGTATAAACACAATAAAGCAGACTGAGAAGGCAAACCTAAGGTGATTACTTTGTAGAATTGAAATGTGTTTTAAAATAAAATACCAAATGCCTTAATTTTAGTTGTATCAAAATAAACTATAAAATACAGCATCCACAACATGTATCAAAATAAAATACAGTATTTTGTACTTTAAAAATACTACAAAATACTTTTATAAAGGAGCATCACATTTCTTTGGAAATCTTCCATCATATAGACCTATTTGATCAATCTCTTCCTCATTAAACTGACTTAGTGAAGTAAGCAATGTTTGTTAGCATATGTGGCCAGTGACATTGCCATCATCTACACTGATTATTCAACCTCTTAATATTTTAAAATGGTGTTAATTAAAGGGTTAATTAATGAATTTTTAATTTACAGAATTGTTCAGAAATAAGTTTTTTTTTTTTTGCTATTGAATCAATTGATTTACAGTTTTTCTCAGTCGCTTTGGTGAGATTCTCACACTAGTGCATTTCTGCACAACAGTTAACGCACTTCTCAATTATTTCAAACTGCAAAACCTAGATGATAACCTGCAAGCGTGTCACATGCACAAAATGGAGAGCTCATTCCTCAAAAGCAAGTATTTATGTCAATCAAAGTGTCAGTGTCATCAGGATGAAAAGTCCTGACACCATTGTTTATGAACAGGATAGTCAAATGGCTTAGTCATGTTTTCATTATGACAGTTTACTCTATACATTTTTTTCAATGCAAAAAAGTCAGGCTTTGATGACACTTCCTGAAAATGCTCAAGACAGCACTGTTTCCTATTTGCACAGCCATTTGAAAACTACAATAAAGTTAGACATCACTGCATTTAGTGAGGATGTCTGAGTACAAGACACTGAATATGTATGTTTCACATTTTTACTGCATATGTTCTTGACAATCCTAATTTATTCACAGCATTGTGCAAAATAATAAACACACCCTTATTTACAACAAACATAAACTCTCATTATGTAGAGCTGTGCACAACTGTAAACAATGTTGCAGAACATATTGGAACTGAACCTTCAACACACACAGGTCTGTAAATCCTTCATGAAATTGTTCAATTTTTAAGACATTTTCAGGAAAATAAAGATTTAAATTTTTTTATAAATTAGCTTGACAGATTTTGACAACTAGTCCAACATTTTTGTATGTAACGATGACTCATGTAATGAAATGAAGACTATTAGTTTTATATGGAATGACTATTCAGCATTCACAAGTTCAGTTAATTTTGACTGACATGACATAAGCAAATGATAATGTGATAAACAGCAGAGAGTTTTATGAAAGCAATTGCAATTTGTTGGAAGGAATGAGAAACTGCTACTAGGATGTGCAGAAATGACTAATTGTTTTGAGAAATTCATTAACTGTTGTGCAAATGTAAATAGTGTTGAGAGAAATGCACCACAGAAAAACTCAGAAAACCACCACAGACTCAGAAAAACTGTAATACTCAATGTAAAAACTGTATTAGGAGATTTTGATTATGAAATGTTTTTGTTGCATATGTTGTGACATCTTTTCTCTTCATTTACTATACAGTGGACCTTCTGATCAGCTACTGGCATTCGAAACAAACAGCCAATGAAGTATTGTAATCACCACTGTAGGGCTTATTTGTATGCTGTTTGTTTTAGTGAAAAACATTTGGCATCAGTAATCCATCCAAAACTACTATTATTTGTACAGCTTACTCCATCACCTTAGAATTATAAGGTTCTATCTGCGTTCTGAATGATTTTGAGATATTGAGCTTCAAAGTTTTGCATTCTATATAGCAAACAACATGTGTGTAACAGATCTCTTTCATACATTAACATGACAGAGACCCTAAGGGTTGTCTAAATATAAGTTATCAAAGTTCTCTTACATTTGCAAATTGGAGTAAATAAACCATGGTAAATGCAGATAGAACCTTCTCATTCTGAAAAGTCATTTTCCACTTGGAATTATAAGGTTATCTGCCAGATCATTCATTGAAGCATTACTTATCAAGAAGTACAATAAAAAATATATAGTTTAATGTTGTAACAATATGTTAATGCTTGAGAAAGTTACAATTTTGTGTTGGGTTGCAGCTGTAAGGGCATCCGCTGTGTAAAACATATGCTGGATAAGTTGGCGGTTCATTCTGCTGTGGCGACCCCAGATTAATAAAGGGACTAAGTCGAAAAGAAAATGAATGAATCTCAATGTCAAGAAATGCTTCTAAATCATCACATTTACACACATTTCAATTTTGTGTGGTGCGGCATTCTCTAATTGACTCTGATTTTGTGTGATTTTGTCTTTCTGGTGTTTCCCGCCGTCAATGGAGCAATCCAGTAAATGACAAAGAAAGCTGATCCTGATTGGTCCTTATGCATGCATTAAAAATGCTGATTGGCTCACAGATAGAACCTTATAGAGCCAAGCTAGAGTTCAACTTTGTAGATACGCCTTTTTTGTTTTTTAAATAAAAAGCCTTAAAATGTAAACAACTTATAAAAACACATCCCATAATGTAAATAAGTTGCCATTTAAAAAGAATATGTGAATAACTCAATTTTGACAAAAATGTCAGATAGAACCTTATAATTCTAAGGTGACGAATCTTTCTCCCAAGATTTTTTTCAATTATTCTTTAAAAGGAAGAGTCAACAACATCCAAAGTACCAATCGGAGGGTGCATTAATATGATGACTTGAAGTAGATTTCTTACAAAGTATTTTACAGTATTTTAACAATACGAAAATACAAGATAGTAATTTGATACAAAATATTAAACCATTTTCATAAACCCTATCAAATACAAATGACACAATTTTTAGTATTTAAAATATGTATTTGAAATACAAGTATCATAAATACTGCCCATTTCTGGTGTCACATATTTATAGATCATCAATGTGTACTTCGGGCCAAACACACACTTACACAGACAGAAACAAACACCCTTGTGCAACAGACACCCTGTGCAAGTCTGCCATCTAAAGTTCAGTATTGTACATCACATCAGACCAACATACTTTAGGCC